GGAACAAAAGATTCTCCACCCGGCCCTCCTCCGGGGGAAGGAGTGATGCGGTCATCATCTCCTGAAGAGCAGGATCCAAGAACTCCGGGTAGCCCGTCTCAGGGACGCCGCCTGCCCTGGCGCTTCACGGGCTTGGCAGGGGCGGAGGCGGGCTGCGCCGGTTTCCTGCGGCCAGCTCCACGCTGCGGCCGCTACGCCTCCGCCTGCTTCTGCGTGGCGGAGAACTGTTGGGCAAAGCCCTCCACCGCTTCACCAAATAGGCTGGCCTGGGAGATCGGGGAGTCCAGGAAGCGATGCTTGTCAGCCTCCCTCATATCCGCCAAGGTCAGCCATAAGTGGCGCTCCTGGACCACCAATGTGGACATCGTCTGACCCAGGGCCTGCGCTGTGACTTTCGTCGCCCTAAGCGCGAGGCCCGTCGTAGTTCCTGCAGCACACCTGGGTCAGCACCTCCCTCGTGCAACTGCTTCAACGCCTTGGCCTGGTGGACTTGCAGGAGGGCCATGGCGTGCAGGGCGGAAGCGGCCTGTCCAGCAGCACTGTAAGCCTTAGCCGTCAGAGCGGACGAGAACTTACAGGCCCTGGACAGAAGGCGTGGACTACCCCTCCAGGCGGCGGCGCTTTGCGAGATTTCATACAGACACGCTGTAACACCAACGCCAGCTTTTTTCCAAACACTCGCGGAGATTCGTCCTGTAGAAGGCTCGGCTCCGAAGCGAAAAGCTGATGTGCGTTTGATGGCGAAACACGCACGCCAACTGTCATTGGCTTGTTAAGTTAACACTCGAAGGTGATTGGGCTCTCGGGTGAGATTCCAATTCGTCAGTCACGACTGACTTAACGTCGAACGTGACTGACTGAAAGGGAACTGATTTAAGCAAAGGACAATGTTACAAATTTGCATATTTGATTACTGACATTGTTGATTTCCATCCTAATTTTGAATTTAGATTTACATAACCATTTTCAACCCTCTCTGACACTTAGAACTGAACACACTGTTTTTGCTACTGTACCTTTAAGACTTAAAGAAGTAAATTAGCAAACTGTTCTGTACCAGTATAGTTCACACTGTTGTTAACAATCACGGTTGTGATGCAAATATCATGTTCTGTTCTAATTGGCCAGGATGCTTTGAAATGTGAATGCTAGAGTATGTCTATTTAGTACTTAGTCATTGAGCTCCTTCATTTTAATAGAGCATCACATTGTATGTCTACTTTATAGATATTTTGGGAAACTGAAGAGAGGGAGCAATACATCATGCTTATGACACAAATTTCATGATCCAGCTCTCAGATGGTAATGTGAAAAGCGAGAGAAGGCCACATGGTGACGGGTCACGGTCGTGGCTGCCATGAGTTAATCATGGACCACAGCACACCATCCAGCCAGCGAAAAAAATTACATACAGAAAGACTGTTATGTCCTTCCCATCAGGGAACCAGTCTGAATGGACAGAACCAGTCTGGGTGTTCAGTTAGCAAATGAATACACAACATCATATATAAAATGTACTACATGATACAGCATACAGAAAAAGCATACAGAAACACCCTGGATGCCCATTATTACAAATGAGTCAACAGCTGTTTTGATCTGTATAGCAATGTATGACAGCATGCTTGTGGGACACACTAGGATGGTCCCAATGTCACAGAGGCAATTCTCATACAGCCCTCCTCTCCATTCCTCCACTGGTACAGAGAGGATGAGAGACAATTTCCTCTTGCTTTCAGTGACAGTAATTGCCAAGCCTTCAGCTAGTCTGTGTGCGTATTTGTGTGTCATGGAGGGTGTCTCTCACTTCTCACACACATACACAACTACACAAACAGGGTGAATAATGTAGGTATCTGCTGGGTGCCCCATGGGCTGCAACCACTAAGAGGTCAAATGTTATACTCTTCATAGTCAATGTAATTTGATGAAAACCACGAGAAGGACTGCAGAGAGTTAGAATGAGGAAATGTTTCATTTATGCAAACTTTTAAAATATTTCTGAAAAGAGTCTCTTATGCTCTGTATGCCACATTTATTTTATTTATTTGATAACTGTTTTAAGGTATTTTAAAACAATTTATTCCTGCGATGGCAAGGCTGAATTTTCAGCATCATTATTCCAGTCTTCAGTGTGATATGATCCTTTAGAAATCTAATATGCAGATTTGCAACTAAAGAAACTTTTCTTTTTTTAAGATTTATTTTTGGCTTTTTATGCCTTTATTTCGATAGGACAGTATAGTTATACTTGGGATGCCCGAATAGCAATGATGCTACATGTCGGCCTGCTGCCCAAGAGGCTATCGGTGCCAACAAAGAAACATTTCTTATTATCATCACAGTTGAAAACCGTTGTTGTCACAAATCCTGTCCATGGACTTCCGTTCAATCACCACCAGAGGTCACCCTTCCATTACATTGACTCTCGCACTACACAAACTGTTGCATGTCATCCCGGACTACGTATCCCATCATCCATTGCACTGATTGCACACAGCACTGATTGCACACAGCTGTAACCAATCACACATTCACTATATAACACTCACTCAAACAACCATTCACTGCCGAGTATTGTATGCGCATATTGCTAGTTGTGATAGCTACGTTACGGGGCCTGCTTCTAGTTTTCATAGTTTAGTCTTAGTCTTGCCCTGCCGGTTTCCTCGTCTTCTGATCATTGCCTGTGTACTTTGGATTACCTCCCTCGTCTTGCCCTGTTCGGATACTGTTTGCCCCTGCCTGGACCTTTGCTTTGTACCTGGTTTATTTCTCTAGTCTCGCCTTGTTGGATAACGTTTGCTGTCGACTGACTCACGCCCGGTTTGGATTACTCTTTTGTCTTGCCCTCAATATACCTGTTTGCCATTATCAGAACCTTGCCTGTTTTTAAGACCACGCCTTTAAATAAAAGCTTTGCACATGGATCCGCACGTCTCACGTCTCGTTCGCCCCGTAACAGTTGTGCAGTTGAATACAGTTTTTCATGATGCTTTGATGAATAGAAAGTTCAAAAGAAAAGCAATTATTTGAAGTAAGAATTTTTTAAAGATTTATTTTTGCCTTCAATTAAATAGGGTATAGAGATCTGACAAAAAGTGAAGTGGAAGAGAGAGGTTGTTTTTTGTAACAATTTTAAAGTCTGTCTCAGTCTTTTGATAAACTCAATGCATCCTTGCTGAACAAAAGTACAGTATTGATATCTTTAAAAAAATTGTACTTACCCCAAAAACAAACCTTTTTTTGTGTTATTGTGTGAGTTATTTCATGTAAGTTTAAATAAAATCCTAAATTTGTCTGAAAATTGTTTTTAATTTTTAGAATCTATTTTCTCAATTTTAGACATTATTTTATATTATATATATTACATTTACATTATTGCTTCTCAACAACAGTTTTGAGTAGAAACTTATTTATATTGTATCATTAGAAAGTGACTTTTTCATCCAGTGCATAAAACTCAAATTGGGTCACAATATCTCAAAATGATGCAGCAGGTTACAAATGCTGTTTTGACTGAGGTCATCATAATTAGTAGAATAATTGGAGCTGGCTGTAAAGCATGTGTTCTCCTAATTACCATATCTGTATTTGTGAGCTTGTCTGTGTGTCACTTGACAAGTTGTATCCTGCCAAACGACGTAATCTATGCAGTGAATAAATAAATGTTTGGGGTTTAATTATTGATCAATAATATAATATAATAGAACAGAATAGCTTTTTTGTCATTGTACAGCTGTACAACAACATTTTTTTGCTCTCACATTGAAAGTACACACACACATACAAAAATGTACATTTAACAAAATGTAAACGATACAGAAAAAGTAAGCAGTGCAAATGTAAACAATTATATATACCAAATGTGCAAAATCGGTATAGTGCAAATGTAGCAAATATGTACAGTAGTGAATGAAATATTACTGAACACAAGAGAATTAAGGAATAAATATATACATATGAGAACAGTGTGTTGCACAGCTATACCAGTAGCTGTATGAGTGGCAAGTGTACAGTCCTTAGTATACCACAACCTTTGAAGCTTGTGATTGAGTGATATGTCTTCTATTAATTGGAGTTCAGTTCTAAGATAGCACGTGGATAAAAACTGTTCCGGAGTCTGGAGGTGCGTGTCTTGAGGGATCTGTAGCGTCTTCCAGAGGGCAACAGAGTGAAGAGGTGGTTGCCGGGGTGGAAAGAGTCCTTTATTATACTTCTGGCCCATTGTATGTATCTGGTGCTGTAGATGACAGCAAGTGAAGGCAGCTGTGCACCAGAGATTTTCTGTGCGGAGTTGATGACTCTATGCAAAGCTTTTTTCTCAGCCATAGTGCAGCCAGCATACCACACCAGAATGCCATGGGAAAGTATGCTTTCTACTGAACAGTGGTAAAAGGACACAAGCAGCTGCTGAGACAGGTTAGTTTTCCTCAGCATTCACAGAAAGTACAGCCGTTGCAGTGCCTTCTTGACCAGGGATGTTGTGTTAACAGTCCATGTGAGGTCCTGGTATATGTGTGCCAAGAAATGTAAAGGTGGTCACCCTCTCCACCATTTCTCTTCTAATGTATAGATGGGTTGGTTTCTCTTTCTTTTTCTGGAAATTGATTATGAGCTCCTTTGTTTTGGAGGTGTTGAGTGCCAGGTTGTTATCGATGCACCATTCTGAGAGTTCAGCCACCTCCTCCCTGTAGGCAGACTCGTCACCATTTGATATTAACCCCACCACAGTGGTGTCATCTGCAAATGTAATGATTGTGTTTGTGCTGTGGGTTGGTGAGCAGTTGTGGGTCTATAGTGAGTACAACAGAGGACTCAGCACATAGCCTCGTGGAGCTCCAGTGCTGAGAGTCAGAGTGGTTGAGTGAAGGCCCCCCAGCCTGACAGTCTGTGCGCGGTTTGTTAGAAAATCCTTTACCCAGAAACATATGTAATCACTGACACCCAGGTTAAGCAGTTTGGTGACCATTCTGCTGGGAATTATAGTGTTAAATGCGGAACTAAAGCCCACAAACAGCATCCTTACAAATGTTCCCTGGTGCTCCAAATGATTCAGCGTGGTGTAGAGAGCTGTGTTGATGGCATCGTCAGTTGACCTGTTAGCTCTGTATGCAAACTGATGTTGATCCAGGGTGGAAGGAAGTGATGATTTAATGTGTCTGAGTACCAGCCTCTCAAAACACTTAATCACAGTGGAAGTGAGAGCCACAGGTCCGTAATCATTAACACTGCTGATTGCTGTTTTCTTGGGGAAGGGCACATTGGTGGCAGACTTGAGGCAGTTGGGGACAGTGCATGTTGACAAGGAGAGGTTGAAGATGTTACAGAAAACCTCTGCCAACTGATCTGCACAATCTCTGAGTGCCCTTCCTGGAATGCCGTCTGGACTAGGCAACTTTCTAGGATTGACACTACGGAGCACTTTTCTGACCTCAGCTGTACTCACAGAAGGTGACAGGCTGTCAGTCTCATCATTGCTGACATCAAAGCGGGCAAAGAATTGTGATTTAGTTCCTCACAGTCTAATGCAGTGCGGTAATCAAACTCTTGCTTTTAGTGACCTTTGTTGGCTTACTTCAGATTCAACTTTACAGTGTGTGCACAAGTTATGTTTATCTTTAAACTATAATTGTGGATAGCTTGGTTATTTTTAATCTAATATGGAAGTGTTAAAAACACATGGTTGCACATGAATATAAGTGACTTCTCTGAGCTCATTAACTTTTCTGAGTTTAATAACGTGAGGATTTCTTTATTATTAAGAAGAGTTTAAAGAGATACATTATAAAAAGAGATATATTTAAAAAACGGGTCAATCAGAAAGAGTGAAATCACATTCGGCATAAAGGTTGCGGGTGCGTGGGAGGTTACATTTCAAGATTAGATGCCAAGACCCAGTTTAATTAGAGTTCAACTCTTCAACCTGCATGACACAAAGAATGGAAAAGATGAAACAAGCCATCTGTGTGTGTTACTGGCCATCTGGATAGCTACAGGCAACAAGTCAATAATGTGGCAAACAAACAAAAACAGCACCACTGACAGAAATAGACAAGAGGAGGGAGAGAAAAATAAACTGAGCCAATATTTTGCATGTATGTGTTTAGTCATTATTGGTGCATGTGTGCATGTACATAGCTAGTTTTATTACTTCATGTTTCATGATTAGTTCCTACTACTTATTCCAGACATGAGGTTAAAATACATATATGTAGAATATACCTCTTATTCGTTTATCGGTCCTGCTCGTTGTGCAGCAAATGACAAATCTCAATATTACTATACTGTATATACTATATTAAAAAATATTACTGACCACAAACTGTTAGATGGTAGTGTACTTACAAATGAGGAAAACAACAAAGCGATGCATTTTAAGGAGGCAATAGAATGAACCATAAACATATAAAGTCTCAAACATTGAGGCTTTATCAAATGCTGAAAACGCAGAAGATTTTTTTTTTTTTAAGAGTCAGCAAGATGCTGTTAAGTGCTCATGGAAGAGATACGTTTTTAGCGGTTTCTTGAATATCAGGTTCGTAAAATCATTCCTCCAGAGAGCAACCGTGGATGTGAATGTTTGGAGGCATGATTTTGTGCCTCTCTGTCATGGTACCACGACACGACACTCACGCACTGACCTCAGACTTCTGGAGTTGATGTAAATTGGTTAAGAGGGATTGGAGGTGAGAGGATGCGGAGCATGTAGCTTTTTCTACTCAAGCACCAATGTCTTGAACTTGATGCGAGCACTGACCAGTAGCCAATGAAGAGAAATGAAGAGAGGTGTAACGTGGGCTGTCTAGTCATTAGTGGTGCATAATTATTAAGATAACCCTTAATATGTCTGACTTTCCCATAAGAGTGACAGTAATGTAATATTTCGTAGTAATTAACTGTGTTTTGTGAGACCACTTTTGTAGGCTCCACTTTTTGGTTGCTGCATTTACCGTAGAGTAGTAAATTAATGTTTCCATGATGTAATGTCCATCTCTCACCTGTGTGACCTTCTCTGTGACGTTGTGTGCTCGATCTTTGACCTTTGGTGCAATGATGGTTTTATCTGAGGAATGCGGAGATGATGCCCGCTTGTCATTGTTGGTCTCTGAGAAGTTGAGAGTGATGAGAGGGATCTTGTTGATGGTGCTGTACTTAGTGAGGTTTGAGTCAGACGTGGAACCCAAAATGCTGGACTTGATCTGATTAAATGGTCCTAAAGCAAATACACACACAAATTATGAGCAAGATACAACTCTCTCTCTCGCTATTAAAAAAATAGCATTCTAGCAGGAGTCACTTTAAACACTGATCATTTTAAGAATCTGCATTTCCAGAACAACAATAAAACCAGCACCACCACCATCAACAACATTTGAGTCAACTGCAAACACAAGATACAAAGACAGTAGACGCACAGATGACAGAGACATGACAACGGTTAAAATCAAAGTGAAGCTCTAGCCATACCCCCAGCCATCCAAGAGCGCGACACTAGCCAATGAGAAGAGAGCGAAAGAGAGGGGGAAGGGGAGCAAAGAATGATTTCACTTTTGCAAAGTTAAGAGGTCAAAGGTCAAGAGAATCAGGTATCATCTCAAGAACTTTACTGTCATACACAGGTCACTGAACTGAAATGATCCACACAGTCTTGTATATTGAAAAGATTTATGACAAGAACGCTACAAGAATCTAAACAATTCATTCTCCTGTGGAATACATTAACTTTAACCTGAGGGGCTGAAAACCCATGTAGATTCAGAAAGAGAGATTTAGATGAAGAAAAGGGTGAGGAAGTAAAGAAAGATAGAAAAAGCTGCAAAAGCTCAAACTTAGTTCTTAAATATCGGCTCAAACAATACAGCAAGTGGTTTCTGTCCCATGCACTTTCACGCCATGTAAGGCATTACACATGCAAATCTCTCCTCTGTCCCTCTGGCACATTCACACTTATTTTTCAAGATTTTGTGATTGTCAATTTGGTGTGTTTCGGGAGCATTCAGTGTAAGCCTGAGCATGCTTTACACAGGCAGGCAGGCAGGCAGGCAAGCATGTGCTGAGTAACAGCTCTGTTACCTTTAATACTACGCCCATTATCTGAGAAAGCAATAGATCACGGATGGACAGAGTGAAAGAAGAGAAAGACAGTGAACGGCAGTCAAAAGCATCAATACTGATAGGTGAGATCTTTTAGGTTTTTAAACTGTGAGAGGGTACAGTATGTGTGAATAAAAAAAAATCCCCACAAGATTAGCAGAACCTAAAAGTTATTCAGAAGTTACTCAGAAGAAAAGACCGTTTATAAAGACAATAAAGCATTTAGGTGGGGAGGAAGTATAGGCATAAATAATGATTTTGGGTGGATTTATATTAGGTGATATTTTATATTAGATATAGATCATAAAAAATTTACTTGTGCTTAATAATGCTGTAAACTGTGAGATGGTTTGTTAGATATCTTCTTCCAAGTATAATAAATCACTTGGTCAATAAACAACCTTGAGATGCTGAACACATTAAATCAAAATGTTGTGAAAGTTTCCTTGAACTCTACGTTACTTTTGATATGATATGCAAATGTGTGCATATTTAACAAGCTGACCCTTTGCATATTAAAAGTCACAATGAACAATACATTTCTTACCATACAATTTACTTCATGTACAAGCTATTTACTCTATTTTATTGCTTATCATAATGGGAATCTATAATCTATACTACAAATATATATCTTTGCCCGTCTTACTAAACTAACAAGTCACATCCCGTTCCTGTGGATTTCATTGCACTTTTATTTAACATGGCCAATAAAAATTAAAATTGAATATGACATTGGTAAAACCTATAGTCATTCGTCCTTGTAAAGACATCTCTCTATATTCACAACAACATTTTTTAATTATGTTATAGCTATTGCTGAAGAAGAATGTGACTGGAATGCAAACATGGTCGGTCCATTAACAACTATATCCAAGTGCCAAACAACTATAAAACCAACTGCAGTTGAATTTAATGCTTAGCAATTTCAGGTAACACATTTCAGGATACAGGTCGCAGTTTAACTTCTGCTGTGTCCTAGAGCCTTACAAAATCATGGCATTGAGAAAATTACTCATTTTAATGAGAAAATCTGCCCTGTCTTTTGACTTCATCAGTCAGTTTCAAGGGCTAAGAAAAAAGATTACTTTTTACTTTTAAATATTTAAGCACAGTTAAATATAGAAAACTTATATTCACTCATGCATATTTTTGGCTAGATACCTTGACTTAACTATGTAAAAGTTTTGACCTTGCACCCATACTTAAGTACTATTTTTACACTAGGAAATAGCCTACCCTATTCATATGCAGTGCCTCATTCAATATTATAAAACTTCTAAATTAATAGAAATGAATAACCATATTATAATGATATAAGTAAAGCAATACATTCTACCAAATTAAGTCACTTTGAAGAAATAGTTCACACAAAAGTGAAAATCTGGTAAAAAATGTATTTCATCCTCAGGCCATCCAATATGTAGATGAGTTTGTTTCTTCTTTGGAACAGATTGGAGAAATGTAGCATTAAATCGCTTGCTCAAAAATGTCTCTTCTGCAATGAATGAGTTCAAACAGCTGATAAAAACATCACAATAATCCACACTTTAGTCCATCAATTAACTTATTTTGACTCAAAAAGCTGTGAGTTTGTAATAAAAAAAATTATCTGTAAGATCATGCCTCCATGCCAGAAATATCAGATCCAGAGCAAGACGCCAGATCCTGTCAGAAAATATCAGTTTTGTCTGGTAACAGAACAACTAGTCAGCTAAGTTTAATAGCTAAAACCTGTTAACAGCAAGTCTTGTCTGGTACCCCAAACCAGTGTTTTGTCTGGTACCCAAACTGTATTAATGGTCCTCTATCAGCTAAGAAGTTGACTGAGTAAAGCCAGAGAAGAACAGAAGCAGGAGATGAAGTAATGATGATAAACATTTTTTAGTTTATTGAATAGTTGTGCTTGTTTCAATGCTCTGACTTCGTCTGACCAGCACAAATCCAACAAGTGTTATTATACCACAAGCAATAGTAATGGAAAAGTGCTGCTTCCCAACAACTTCCTGTTACGTTAAAAACCTTGAAATGGAGATATTCTCTTATCTCTAACTCATGAAGACAAATAGCCCTTTAAACCACACATCCTAAGACTAAACACTGGAAAAATAATATAAAAAATACTCATAATATAAATGACCAAAAGATAGTAATACACAACACAAATGTATGGTTGCTCTCTTGAAGCAACACACACAGTTTGCATTTGATGCTCCTTAGATCCTTCATATCATTAAGATGTTTTTAATTTGCTTCCAGCTACAATACAATACCTATATCCATAATATTGATTTCTCCAGTAAAAAAGTAATTTTGTCTGAATCAGGAGAGAAATATGCATAGATCATGCACCATTTACAAGTGAAAAACCTGTCCAAAACATTTTGATTTTGATGTGAGAAGACAACAGGTGATGAACTTTTTCACTGGAGGAAACATTATTATGGATTATGACCAGAAGGGACGGTTTAAAGTTAAAATGATAGATTCATTTATTTACTTGTGGATTACTGTGATGGTTTTTATCAGCTGTTTGGACTCTGATGGCACCCATTCACTGCAGCGGATCCATCGGTGAGAAAGTTATGTAATGCTAAATTTCCCTAATTCTGTTCAGGTGAATTAAACAAACTCATCTACATCTTGGATGGCCTGAGGGTGAGTAAAGCAAATTTTCATTTTGGGGTAGACTATTCCTTTCGACACAACCAATAGCAGTCACATAATTCTTCTTAAAAGCTTATGCTTGTGTATTTAGATGTATTTGTATACCTTCGCTAGCATGGCGATCACGGTACGTCCTCTGCGTGCTGAGTCCTTCTAAATCTTGTGTAGATGATACTCTCCTAAACGTGCACATACTGGCCCGTGATGCTCTCCTGGATGCAGTCGGCAAAGGCTCCTGGGGCTCCACCCTCTCCCAGGGGCCCCTTGGAGATGAGTGATCCTGTGGCCCTGAGATAGGTGAGCATGACCCCAGATAATTCTGGCCAATCAGAGCCCAGGTGTCATTTCCGTAGGAGGGGCTACAGCTCTCACCGGTGGGTGGATGGAGCTCACGTGGAGAAAGGGAAAGAGAGACAGATGACGAGCAGGAAGAGCGTTTCTCATTCTGATCAGCCGAATGGATGGTCACCTCATCTGGGTCTTCCTGAGGGAGGGATTGCTTACTCACTCCCAGCATGCTCAGTGGTGCAGGCAGACGAAAACGGAAGAAACGTCCTTTTTCTACAAAAAAAGGGACACATTAGGGTTCAAAGAAGGTAACAAGAAAGAGGCATTATTTTATTACTGTATAAAATGGTAAAGTTAGTCAAACATGTCTTCCCTGGAAATTACCAGGCTAAAAATGCCACCAAAATGAACAAAAATGTCTGCCAAATTCAAGATAATGGGGGATAATTAAACTAATTATTACTGTAATAATGACAGTCGACTGCAGCATTAGATTTAGATCTGCTCATATTGCATCAAATTATTTTTTAATGCATATTTTTGCAGCACCAAGCACACGTTTCTGTTAAGCATATGAATGCAACTGCCAATCAGAGCCTTAAGATTAGTCAACGTTGATAGTTTTTTTGTGAATTCTGCACTCTTGCGAATTTACTCATGAACAACAAAGAGCAGATACAATGTAAGTAAGAGATTCATTTTGAAGTGTGGACAGCTTCAGTGATTATAATGAGATTTTTTGTGAGAGCAGTCATTTTAATTTATGTCCTGTAATAATTAATGTCATATAATTTAATGTCAATTCAAAAAACCATTTAGTTTTTCATGATACTAAAATAACCAATGCGATGTCTAGATTTTTTAGTGCGCAATAAACAAATTCATAAAGAGCTTTTAGATACAGTAGCTCTGTCTGTGTAGCCTGTAAGTCAATAAGAGTATGAAATGGAGCCACTAGCCTAATGGAAAAATATATGCCGGAATATATAGTGCCACTGGACTTCGGGAGAGTTCAAATCCTTTCCCAATTCTGTCCTCTCCCCATTTAGTGCTTATTTTGTGTGAGCAGCTTCTCTTGCTGACTGGTTCAGAATCAGCTTCTGTCTTATCCAAAAAAGCACCATAAATAGTGAAAACATGATCCCTGAAGGTACTCCAGGGGCTCCAGGAAGAAGATTTCTCACTTTCATGTAATTTCAAACTTTCTAGCTATTTACCTGTTTTATAATCACTGTATTATGTATGTAATAATGTTAGATAATGTTCTTTTTTATGGACGATGTTATGAAGTGTTACAAAGAAAATCAATATTTTTATATAGGGGCCACTGGATCTATAAAGGTTGTAGAACACAACAACAACAACAAAAGTCTCTTTGGCCCTGTTGACACCTGGTATTAAGATGCATTTTGATCACAATTAGATGAGGTAGACACAGTCTGGATTTCTTTGAGCTGAGGGTCTATGGGCGGGTGTATGTGAGGGATTTTTCCTGATCTTTAGAATAGATCTTTAGAATAGACATAGAAAGTAGAATAGACATGATTATTTATAACACCAGAATAACCAAGGATAGTTTGTAAAGGAGTTAATGTACGGTGCAAATCGCAGCATTACAGTAGCCGTCAAACAAGGTTACACTGATGGGGTCTCTGCAGCCACAATGTCCTACCCACACTGTGAATCTTTAACAAGAACTTCCTGAATGTCAAACAAGCAGAAATGTCTCTGATGGAGGGAAAACTGGGACATCAGCATCAATGAAATTCAGTGAGAAGACGAGAGGAGACATGGATCAAATGAGCTTTCTCTCTGTATCCTTCTCCTCTGGAGGGTAAGACAGCCGCATGACTTTACATGGATTTCATTACCAGAGCTTCATATCAACCACAGAGAAAATACAGCTAAATTATTTATGGACCAGTGAGATCAACTTAATCAAATATATTATTAGGCAATCCACAACACTGAGTGTAGGAGAGCTCCATGAACTCTTGATGCCCTACAAAAACATTATGGTGTCCTAGGAAACCTCATGACATCTGTTTCTATTGTATTTGTGTTGTTGACATAACATTTCAAGCAGCCGCATATGTGAAATGAGATGCATGCTATACTCCACTCATTTGCAAGCTGCAGATTTGCTTTTGGCTGCAATCGTTTTTTTTTCTTCAGTTTTTTCCTGCTCTCTACTTCAACAACAGCCTCTTTGCATAACATTTTTGTTAACCTGACACACTTCACACTTGATGTGCAACACAAATAGCTGCAATCAGCCTGAAATGTTTAAAGGACCTCGATAAAAGTATTTCTAACACATTTTTGACTTGGGTATTCCAGGATGTGTAGAGTGACAGAGTTGTCATTTGCTCTTTTGCTGTTAGGAATAATAGCATGTATTTTACTTTCGACATTACCTCAATGCAAAAGTTTCTTATTTAGTGAATAGTATGCACCTGCTGTTTAAATTTATTAATCTGGCTGACATCAGAATCTTAAAACCATTATTACATATTCAGATCTTGTACATCAGTTATCTGTTTTTGATTTTAAATTTAGAATCTTTTTTTTTTATCTCTGCAGTGTGATTTCTCTCTTTCTCTCTGTCTGTCTCTTCCCTGGGGTTTCAGTACCACGCCAGCATTAATTAAAAGTCTCTCCAAACTGGGCTATTTATATCACTCCTTCATCAAAACAACCTAATGCACCCCACAAAAGAAGCTTTTTGGAAGGGGACGTCCTTCAATTTTTGATCAGAGTAAAGCCTAATAAATCATTGACAGAGTCAGGATGGAAAAGCTTGTAAATTTTACTAGCTAGTTTGTCTCTTCTTTACTGGTTCAATGCACTTCCTATCTACTTAGCCCTCAGCCTTGCTCTCAGAGGAAGCGAGATCTAGGAAAGCTATATCCATCCCAGCTGGACGTTTTTTTTTAAAGCATCATGTTGTATGTCTCAGCATAACACTGACTGCACTGCCATAGCAAATCATCGGTTTATAGCAGCCCTGACTAAACAGTGCCTCTAACTTGCACACATACAGTATGAACACAAGCAGATGTCCTTTTCAAAACATTCCCTGTTGCTATGATACCACAGAGACGGTTTTAGCATTGGATATTAATTGGATTTATAGTTCAGATGTGACTTTCCAATACAGCGTTAGAGGAGGACATCAGGCAGGGTGTGTGTATGTGTGCGTGTTCATGTGTGTAAACTGATGCAGTAGCATATTTTGCAGAAAATGCAATGCAGCAGTTTTATTGCTTACAGGTCTCTATGAACATTTGTCATAATTATAGCATGTGCGCACACACACACACACACACACACACACACACACACACACACACACACACACACACACACACACTGTTTGTATTTGGATGGTTTAATGGGTGCCGTTTTCCTGAACGAGATCCTATAAATGAAGCGCCGTTCAGCACCTGGCCTCAGGGATCCAAATAATTGTAACACTGTGTCACATAAATTATTTCCCCCCACTTCATTTTCTTTCTGGCTGACTGGGTTTGGTCTTGACAGTGTGTGCTGGTGAGCCAGAGCAACTGGAGCAAATAAAAGCTTTCTCTATATTCCTCTGCCTTCTCCATATTTCTTCCTGCACACCTCTCCATTTATTCCTTCTCAGTCACCATTTTGAAATTTTCTCTTCCTTCTCTCTCATCTGGCAGACAAATAGTAAGCAATTAAAGCAGATGCTGGGAATGTATCGCATTGATGGAAATTAAAAAAAGAGAGGGAATGATTGAAAGAAAGAAAATAGTAAAGGAAGAGCCTCACTTTGTTCTTGTCTGGCTGGCGAGGTGTGGTTGAGTCGATCTAATGAATCCATGCTGCCCTCTTTCAGCACATAATCGAAGCTCAAGATGAACAGCATGACAACACCCTCTTCATTCTTCACTGGAATGATGTGTGTCACACACAAGAAGTCTGATCCTGTTGACAAAAACAATTTATTCATTATCTTTTGGTTTAGATAGCAAAACAAATCTAACCATTGAATTCATTAGGATTCTTCATATTAATTAGCTTAATTAAGTGTACTGATAAATACACAGAGGTTGTGGAGCGCAGGTTACATTTGCTATTTTACTACATAAACAAACATGCAGTTTTGGGTGTAGATGTTGACGCTCATTCAGTTTGACAGGTTCAGGATTAATTTCTGACAGGCAAAGATGAGGGTCGCCATGGTAACTATAGGGCAAGACGACCCTTGAGAAAAAGCACAATGGAGACGTGGTTCTGATTTGTCTTCACATTTTATAGAAATTTGAGTTGATCATTATTGGGGCACAAGAGTTATCAGACATGCTAATTAACCATTGGCCTCCATCTTTAAAGACACAATTATCCTCATCATTGTCATAACTATTATCATTCATAATCATTAAATTTTTCCAGTGCATTCATATGAGCAACTGACTTACAGTAATGTGTCACTGGCACTGGAGTTACCAAACAAGATTATAAACACTGTCACTGCTTCTGCATAAACTCCAGGGCCCGTATTCATGAAAAATCTAAGCTAATGCTAAGAGTTGCTTCTAGTAACAAAATTCTAAGAAAATTCTTAGAAATGTGGGTGTTTCCTCTTAAAATTAAAGAAAAGATCCTAGTAAAAAAAACAGTAATTCAGAAAGCATCTTAACCCTTAAAGGAGGTCTTAAGGTCCATAATTGTTAGGAGTACGGACGAGGACATTTAAGAGGCTTAAGAGTTTCTTTAGCAGTGGAGAAATAGAAGTAAATCACTACATTAACTACATTAACATATTTAGCAATTGGAAAAATGCAATTATACAGCAGTGATGATTTGGGTTTGTCAACCTTCTATAAGCAAAGTGATAACACAAACAATTACAGCACTTTCAGAACTTATTTTGTCACTGTTCATTTCCTATAAAATGTGTTAAGTATGACAGCATGGTAAATAAAAAATAAAGAATATATATACATATATAATGTGTGTGTGTGTGTGTGTTTGTGTGAGAGAAAGAGAGATAGCACAGTAAAACAGGAAAAATTACGCCTGTAATTTCTAAATTAAGGCTTATAATAGACCCTACACTTAAACACACTCTTTTATTTCCTTCTTGGACAACCAACCAATCACAGTCTTCAAAAGACTGTGTCATAGCTAGCAACGGGGTCAGCCCGCCTCCTCACTAAGATAAAAGTTTTTGTCTTTTCCTCACTCAGAGTTGCTCTCAGATTGGTCCTGAATCACTTTTAAGCTAAGACTCCTACGTAAAAAAAATTAAAAACATCTTAAGGCTAAAAGTAGCTGATAACTCGCCGATTTAGGAGAAAATCTTAAAAAAGAGCATCTAAAGCATTAAAAGAGGCAGTTCATCCAAACATGGAAATCTGGGCCCGTATTCACAAAACATCTTAAGGCTAAAAGTAGCTCATAACTCGCCGATTTAGGAGAAAATCTTAAAAATAATGGACGTGTCAGTCCTAAATTTAGGACTCCTATATTTTTGTTCTAAAAGTTGTCTACAATGCGTTTTAGAGCTAAAACTAGCTCCTAAATATGTGAAATGTAGTAGTGAAGAGGACTCCTAAGTTACTAAGTTACCAAATCTGAACTATCCTAAAATGGCTGTTGCCAGCAATCTGCCTCGGAATATAAACATTTGACGATAATGAGCTTTTAAAAAGGTATCGGCTTTGGTTTGGAGGTTATCCCAACTCCAAATTTTTTATTATATCCTTAATAGATAGCTGTTCTCGTGTCCAGCTTGGTTTTCTTTTATGTTTGCATGTCTTACAATCAGCCAGTGTTGGGAAGGTTACTTTGGAATGTAATAGGTTACAGATTACAAGTTACCCTATTTAAAATGTAACAGTAGTGTAACTTTTTCAATTACTTTATAAAAGTAATGTAACTGATTACTTTTGATTCATTTTTGATTACTTTTCTAAATTTCTAATGAATGTTTATTTGCAACTGTTAATCATTTTCAAACATTTACACCATGCAGGGTTAACCTTACAGTAGTGCTCAACACTGTCAGACTTTCAAAATATAAATAAAATTTGAACACATCCACCACAAAATCAGACTTTAGTACCGCCTTTTACTTTGAGATTGATCTGAAGTTCAATGCAGATTTAAAATCATAAGAAATAGTTGAAATACTGATACTGCTTTTGAAACCAAATCTTTGCATAACTATAGGAAACACTGCATCTAACAATGGTTTGGAAAAAAAATTGTTACCGGTAATTAAAAAATAATAATTTATAATAAATAATAAAAGCATATACAGTGGGGAAAAAAAGTATTTAGTCAGCCACCAATTGTGCAAGTTCTCCCACTTAAAAAGATGAGAGGCCTGTAATTTTCATCATAGGTATACCTCAACTATGAGAGACAAAATGAGAAAAAAAAATTTTTTTCCCCACTGTACATCAACTCAAATACGGTTTTCTAATAAGCACGTGTCCTATTCTGTGTACTAAACTCCTGAAACAATGATGTCTTTTTGAAACATTGGTGTCTCTTTGTTTATGATATGACGGTAGTTTTCTCAAAATAAGTAAAGTGCTCATGAAGTGACTCAGAGCAGTTCTAGAGATTATGTTTATGTGTTCATGTACTCATATATTGAGAGGCTCAATATACATAATATCTCATATACAGAGGCTGAGAACACTGCGAGCTTCAGTAGGCCTATGTGTAGTAAATGAAACCGCATGTCTGCGCCATTAATTTCCATGAGGCAGGGGCGTAGCAGCCATTTTAAAAGTGGGGGGGACAGCTGTCAGGTGATGTGACCCTCAATGGCCAAACAAATTATGTACATAATAAATTCTATATAGAATACTAATTGGCGTGTTTTAGAGCACCCTAATGGCAATTTTGAGAACATGCCATGATAGCTTACAGGAAGCAAGACAGCTTACAAGGACCTATTTTATTGTGATATCAGACTCAAAAACACTAACTCTAACCCTAATTCAAAAATAACTGCAGGACTTGGGACTTTGAGACCACTGTGGACATCTATACTTTATTTTTATTAAATAAAGATATTTTATGCACAATATTTCAGTTACACTACAATTAAACGATAACTTTTATCCTAATTCTTAACAGTTGGACAAAAAAAGTGTCTTTAAAAACTATTGGAACACACTGCCTTTACCTATACAACGAATTTTATTTAACAATTTTAACATAAAATAAAAATATATATTAATGTTTAATTCCTTAAAACATTGGCAAGTAGTCCCAGTAAAAAAAAAAACACTGCCTTAAAATAATTATCTTCTTCCAAGTTCTCACCTGTATAGATTCTGGAGAGGTCGAGCAACTGTCCTCCCCTCTCTCTCTGTCAGTGACAGACTAGTTAAAGTTAAGAACATAGCGGTAATGAATTAAAGTAGCCTACTAAAATATGATAAAGTATGATGAGATATCATAAGTATTTGGTGCAAAACAACTTTGCTTTATTGGGAAAGGATAATTCTACTCCGGACGCGAGTGGTGCGACGCGACAAAAGAACCCAATAATCAGTTATGCTGTCCATATTTACATTTACTCATTTAGCAGACACTTTTATCCAAAGCGACTTACAAGTAGGAGAGGATATAACACACACTGGATCCAGTGCGAGGTCACATGCCTCGTTCTTAACGGGTTCTTTTGTCGCATCCCTCGCATCCGGTGTAGATGCCCGGTTAGATCAAATCATAACGTAGCAATTCGATCGCGTGATTTGTGTCATCGTGACATAACACATACTTACATACTTGTTTGAAAAAGGACGTAATCATCTGCTTTTTTCTGGGGTGCATTTTACCCCCAAACCGCCCAAAGAGCAAAGTGAAATCGCGAGAGCATCAGGAGATTTGAAGCTCATGACAGACACGCCCAAGAGATGATGCGCCTTGTGACTGGCTGAATGTTAGTTCACTCAAATCTAAATAAACAAATCAGAGAACACGGCAGACATATCGAAATATCGACAGTGGGTAAAAACATATCGAAATATCGACGGTGGGTAAAAACAAAGTGCGGGGGACAGAATAACCTTTTACTAAAAGTGCGGGGGACACGTCCCCCCCATCCCCCGTGGCTGCTATGCCCCTGCCATGAGGGGCGGACTGGGAAAACAATTTCAGGCCGGGAAATCTCACACTCATACACCCACAACAAAATCTGAAACATAGACAACCCTATTTTTTGTATGGACCTCACATAAAAAAAAGTTTAAATCCTTAGGTTGGGGACATGCAAAATAATTAAAAGTGATCTCCTGAACTGCACCTTCACTTCCATTTTTCTTTTCAGTCTCTTTATTTTGCCCTGATATCTATCTCTCACATGACTTTAATACTCAAGATTTAACAATACTTTCTAAATTGCCTACATGTCAAAATTAGTACATCACTACAATATCTGTATAGAAAAAACCTAATACTGAACACGAAACTACAATAGCATATTTACAGATGAAACTGGCCTGCACTTGAAACCCTGAACAGCAGTTTTGCTTCTCTTGTCCACCTGTCTCTCGCATTGATTACTCTGATCCTAACTATTTGGCAGAGGCGCGGAGAGCGCGCGAGCCGAAGCATTGCCAGTCACGACTAACTGATTCATGATTTATTAGAGATTTAACTATCGAATGGCGAATTCGGAAATAATCGCTTTAGTACATTCGGCAGGCAATTATACAATAATAATATTAAAATAGCAGGGGGAAATCGGCTGCCAGGCCACCAGGAATTATCCCGGTTCTCCCGATGGCAAGTCCGCACCTGATTTCCACAGACTCACAGAACGTGCAGGATTCATATATTGTCTTTTTGTGGCTTAATATTCACATAGTCCATATCGCGTTTTGATTCAAGTGTACTGACCTACTTTTGATTTATTCGTCCAAAATGTGGCATATTCCATCCGTGTTAGGCTATAGGAA